ATATATATATATACATATATATATATATAGTATATGTGTGTGTACCTCTATTTAAAGTTAAGTTTAACGATTTTGTGGGAACGGCAAGATATCTGTTCCGATTAATTCTCGAATGGAACAGGGTCAGTCCATTGTATATACTGCTTTATTGAATGCAATTTTCTCTGTAATACTGCGCAGTAGAAATTTCGATTTTACTGAAATGTCTAAAAATTTAGGTAGATGTATAAATTTTAAAATAATTTTGTCGAATTATCAGAATAATTATATTGAAAATTCAAGCACATATGATTCAAGCACATGAGCAATGCAAAAAATCTTAATTCTAGCAATTATCAGACGTAAATGTTTTGATAATTCAATAAAATTATTTTTAACTTTGTATCTACGTAATTAAATTTTTAGATACCTCAGTAAAACTGCAGTTCATTCTCTGTGTCGATTAAAAATAGTTTGACTCGACATGGTTTTCACATAGACTTAATTATATATATTTTTATTATTTTTTCTTAATATAATCTTTTTTTTTTGTATATGAACCAAAATAAAAGATTGTAAAATAGTAATAGTAGTAAAAAAATTTGTTTCCGTAGAAAGCATTTTGCATCATCTTCTTGGTATAGACGGTAAAGCATTTCTGTTGATGCCTTTATTTTATAATTACAGCAAATGCCGATAGTAAGTTACGACGTTATTTATTTATATTGTGCATCATTATCGAACAAGCTTCTTGTCGAGCCGTTTATTATCCTTTCGTTAAGGAGTTGCTTAGTTCCACGTGTCAGAAAATCCTTGACTTTCTCTACCTATCTATTCAAATGATCAGAATTGCTAATTACGTAATAATATAATCCATGATTTTGTAATGATCTCTCACGGATTTCAACTTGATATATAATTTTTGTTGTTATCGATTTTTCAATTTTTTTTTATTTATTATACTATGAATTCAGAGAAAAAAAAACCGAAAAATGCGACGAGACATTAAAGCTCTATATATCAAAGTAGTATCATAGCTCCTCCATTTTTTATTTACTAACCATACCCTATACCAATAATATTAAGCGCATATTGGACTGGGCCACAAATGGCGATCGAAATAACCAATAGGAACGCTGTCGGCATTTTAGCTCAGATCAAAGGAATACGCTACTTTGATATATAGAACTTTGAGACATAAGATACACTCTCGGAATTGTTAGCTGCGTGTATCGCTTGAAATATAATTTTCTTTTTGGATATGAGCCGATCACGATGTCACTAAACTAGTAAACAAATTCAAGTCACCTATTCACTTTTCGCAATGGCAAAAATTGAAATGCTTCGTCAATATTGCAGACCATGTATGTCGGTCCATTAATGTACTTTCTCGTAGAAAGCAAAAGCGTTTCGTGCCAAGGTGAGATCGCGATGAAATGCGCTCTCGTGATGCCCTTCACTTGTTGTCATTGTGTCGATCCTAGGGTCTTGTATAACTCTAATAAATCACTAACTTTAAGCACATTAAATCTGTAATACATGAGTATTACATAGATAATCTCTATAAACAATCACGGAATTGTTTGACATTCGAAATTGAAAATTTATTACTGGATTAAATTTCAAAGGCAGCAGCATGGAAAAATTTCATTTCTTTACGCGGTCGTTTAAGAGAATGGACGGAAATGACTCCGCGATATTGTAATAAACTTTTATGTACTTTGAAGTCGTACTTCGAAATACAGTGAAAGTGTATTAATCTTGGCCTTTTTGTGCCGATTTTATTGAAATTTCTATGACGCGATTTACTGCAGCGTAATTTTTTATATACTTACCTGTAATCGTGTCTGATCATATCATATCCGCCACGTGCGTCAATATTTTAAGATTCCTTATCGACATTATCGGATTCTGAGGATTTCCTGCGGATTATTTGTTTGACGATATTTTTATTTATATACATATAAAGCAATGGAAAATCTTAGAAATTATTTCCGAAAGAGAGAGAGAAAAAAAGAGCCTTGTTATTTACATTAAATTATTTATTTATATTTAAATGAAATTTATTCGTCTCTATGGAAATTAGTTTCATTACTCTTTTCGTCAGATGTATAATATTTTTGAATCAATTGAAATGGATTTTCTTTTCTTATGCATAAACCGAGTTTTCAATTAAAATTCTGTTAAAAATTTGACATAAAACGGAGCGAAATACTTTTTTCTTTATTTATACGTAATTCTGAAAAGAGTTTATAGTTTGTCCAAAAAATTTAAGTTGCTAAAAATCTCTTTTTTAACTCATAATTATAAAGATATTAATATGTTAATCTTTTCAATTCGAAAAGGACTGTTTTAAAACATTAATATCGTTCCAACTTTAACAGAGATTATAAACATTTTTCTCATTTCATGTTTCAGTATCTACTTACCAGTGTAACATGTCGGTTACTTCCGTACAATCAGCTACCACTGAGAGCCTTTCCCGTCACGGGTGAGTAAAATCATCGAACTAATCTTTTTTTCGCGGACATCAGATTGTATCGCAGCGAACAACCGCGACTTATAATTGCAAATATCCGACGTGTCTCGCATGAACGAGTTTTTTTTTTGCCACGATATGCATCGACATTAGACAGATTTTCCCGCGAGAAACTGTCGCGATACTAATATGAATTTCAGATTGCCTAATTGAAATATTCCGACCTTCGCGCCTAACTTTTTCACAATATAAAATATGACCTTCGATTTCTGTATGAAGAGAAAAACGGAGCATACGCAACGTTTCATGCTAAATAGAATGTTAGAGTGGAGGCTTATTAGTCTGTAAAATTTATGTTATACATATACATGTATGGAAAATATGTATAAAAATGTCGCTTAATAAGAGTAATAAATACCTCGTTTTCAGAATTGAAACTCAAAATCGATCATTATAATAACCAATTTCGGTAATTAATTTCATCGCAATTAATGCTAGATATGCAATTTTAAATGTGAAGTGCGAAAAGAGGGATATTTTGAGGTTTGCGTTAGCCAAACCGGCGATTTTGTTTCCCATTTCTGTCGGAACGTGCGCCACAAACTCCACTTCCTACGCAACGCGTTGCGAACGCCGGAAACGTCAATTGTGGGGCGTTGAAGGTGATTCGACATCACTATACGGTCGTCAAATTGAAATCGTTGTTCATCCATTGAGAATTGAAAAAGCAAAAAGCATTGCAATTAATTGGAATCGAATTGAACGAAAATAAACGAACGTTGGTGTTATTAATTCAATTATTTCATAATCTCTCATGTTCTATCCAAAAATTTCAAACTTTTATGTATGCAGAATCATAACAAATTACTGGCCAATTAAATCAAATCGCATAGTCGTTTTAACCGCAAATTGAAATCCTCTCCGGGATAATTATTATATTTTACAATTATCTATAATTATCGTACGTTGCGACGGACAAATTGCAGAAAAAAATCTCAATAATTTTCGCCGCCGTCCTAGAATATACTGACAGTTACGATACTTTTATTAAAAAATATTACACGTGTATGAAGAAAGGATTTCTTATTTGTGCTATTTAATTAAAGAGTTGTATAATCGACAGACGAATGACGCAGAAGCGTTCGCAATTCCCTGCAATAATCTTTTTCTTGCGATTTACGGTTCATTCAGAAAAACCTCTGTTCTCGGTCTTTGTTCTTCCTGTGTCTACGTTTGTATTGCTGTGTCGAGCGCACAAAATACGAATACGCGTCGGGCGCATTACGCGTGCGTTCACGTTGCCGTCACGTGAAAGAAGTGATTTTTTCCTTCCTGATTACCATATGTGCACGTTCATTCGTGTTAATCGCAGCCCGGTCGTACAGCACTCTTTCTTCGACCGCCAGGTTCAAGGCGGTTTACTCGCGATTCCCTCACCCCGATAAATCGTACCTCCGGGAATCACGGAGCGTGTCTTCACGGATATTTAAATTTGTTGGAAGGAGCTCTTGCGCAGACTCTTGCCTTCCACGTTCCTCTTTTCGATGGATACAGAGTCTCCAAGAAAGATTAAAGTCGGCATTATATAACAAAAACTTTATTTAAAAAATCGAATCAATATTAAAAGCTTCTTTATCGAATTAAACAGAGACTGAAAAGCATAAATAGAACAATAATGTCTTAATTATGAAGCAATTACATCAGACTTGATTTTCCTCACGTTGCTGCATACATTTGAAATCGGAGCGACAAAGAGTAATTAGAAAGAAAAAAAGAGAAAAACATCAACAAATTTATTTTAGATTCAAATAGAATAGAGATTATTTTATGAATTAATTAATTATCTAATATAAAACTAGATAAAACTAGAAGAGATTTTATGGAAATAAGAGTGGTAGTCTTTAATATGCAACGTAAAACCGTGTCATAAAAATGGAGTGACTTCCCAAGTTTTAAGTTTTTTATTATAAAAAATAGACAGTATGCATGTCCAGAACAAAAGCCGTCTTAGGATGTCTTTAATGTGGTGCCTACAATGAAATTTTAAGGCGTAAAACTTAACCTTTAGACTCTAAGCTACAGGAAATGAATCAATTACATTGAATATGAGAAGAATACTTGACTATGATTGATCAATTTCTTAGAGTTTAAAGGTTAAATTTTACGTCTTAAAATCTCATTGTAGATGCCGCTTAATGTGTTATTATTATTTGAGTCAAAGTTATCTCGATTTTTTTCCAAAGTTATTCCATTTAATTTATAGCAGTAGTGAAAAGTCCTTTGAAAAAAAATTGTTGTTCCGCGAATATCACAAGTTGAATTAAACATTACTAACATCACAAATTGAATTGAACATTACTAATGAACATTAATTCACCAACTTAAAATTGGCAATCGTCTAATCTACATGGATCTTTATTTCGATTTATAGAAGCAACATCTCGCTATCCCATCACAGCCTGTGTGGGAGCGTGGACGATGGTCTGCAGGGCTCGCATCCCCAGTATCAGGACACGATCCTCACGATCGAGGAGCTGCGTGCTCAACTCAACTCCTGCTTTACGTAAGCTGATTTTTGCTCTTTATCATCGTATGAATCGGCCCGCGCCGATCCAGTGGATCGTGGGAGTTGACCGGGGGATTACGCAACGTTACAGAAATGAGATACGTCGCCGTCCATACAATGGAATCCGGTACAATCCGGAGCCAGGGCGACTTCAATTCGTCATTTCACGACGCGTTTAATTCTCCTTTACCAATTCGGGAGAGAAATGTCCCCCCCCCCCCCTGAATGAAGATTATTACGCTCGATTATTATATGGCTCGTGCGAGAAGTCGACGGGAGACGAAATTTTTTTTGGCTGTTGAAATTTTGATACAGATCATTAGAGCAAAAACGTAATACAACGAATCATCGTGTGAACGCGCAGGATTGGAATTGGGAGAGAGTCATCGATGAGACAGAATGCAAGAAACGAGGCTAGTAGGTATGCCCATGTTTATCTGGTGACGGTTGACGCAGTTATTCCGGTAAATCGATGCCCTACATCGAGCAAAATGCAGCACGAAATGTGCAACGTGCGGCATTTTCGTGAAATATTCACATAGCCCACCGTAATTCGATTAACGAAAAATATTCGACGTCCTAGAAGGATATTCTTCCGTCCAAGAAAAGAGTCTTATCTTCAAATCCAGTGAAGTCTTTATTCAATAAAATTTTTAATATGTCTCTATTGATTAATAAATAAATATAATGTTATGCAATTCTCTTTCGTCGTAATTCTGTTATGCGGAGTCTACAATAGAAATCGTAGCGATCTTAAGTCTTAGAAAATTGACCAATCATAGTCGATTATTCTTTTCATATTCGACTGTGATTGATTAATTTTTTACGACTTAAGACGACTGCTATGACTTCTATTGTAAATCTCTGCTTACCTATATCGTTCATTTGTTATAATATCAAAATAATTAAAATAAGAAATAAAATTATTTAGGAAATGAGTTTGAATGTTCCGAATCATTAAAATTTTGGAATATTAATCTTAATAAAACGCAATTTTGATATAATAATTTGTAGAAGAATAAAAGTATGTATTCTTTCTTTTTCTCATTATATTTATCTTCTTTATCTTCTGTAATTAATTAAAAAATGACAATTTTTTTCAATTATGTCTTTCTAGCAAATGCGATATATTTATTGATTACCTCAACTATATAATTTCGCAATATATCAACATTATCATTTTATCAACGAGCAAATCTTGCATAAAAAAACGGATGACGCTGATCGAATTGCTAAACTGCATGACCTTCTTTCCTTGAAAGATCATCTCAACGGTAGTTTAGCGATGCAAATCGTCGACTTCTCTCGCAAGAATCGCGTCGTTGGGCTGTGCGTCTTCCGCATCACACGCCTCCGTTATTAGCATAATTGGGTGTGTGTGTTCATATCGAAACGATTCATTATCATCGTCTTGTTCTTTGCATAGATGCGGAGTGTCGTGGAGCGAGGAGCACGTCTCCCTAGACTGCAGCGAGTGCGGTGGTTACTCTCTACAACGGCCATGCCCGCTTTGTGACGGTCGTTGCCATACCACGTGGAAGCGCGACCTCACCATGGTAAATATCTACCTAGTGATCCTCCTTCTCAGAAGAATCGATAAATTCTTTTCACTCGACTTGACATTAATTTCCGCCAGTTTCCCTCTCATTAATGTCACTTATCTTCATTATCTATTTTCATTTTAATCTTTTATCGTCCATTAGACATGAATATTTTTGTTGAATAATCGACAAGGATCCAAATATTGTAAATTTGATTTAATGATAATAAAATTCCGAATTAAAATAATTTTCCTTAATTTTGATCAAAAAGCAAATTCACAATTACTTCTTGTTCTCTTTACAGTCCCATGCGAGTGGTAAAGCAAGATGGATCGGTGAGTGCGGGCTAAGCTGTGGACCCTCCTTGGAGGAATCACTGGTGCCCGCGTTGGAGAAGCTGCGGGCTACTTCGTGAACGGTGTCAGCCCGAGCACCATCAACCATGCACAAGACTTAAATCCATCACCATCCATCTAGTATCACCCACCACCATCGCGTGCGAGACTCAAGAAAGAAAGAAAGAAAGAAAGAAAGGAAGAGAGAAAAAGAGAAATGTGTGAATGTGAACCATGGATGATATGCATTATGTTCCTGAGGGGGACGGCTGACAAGGGAGAGAAGAGTCAGTTTCGGCCTTGTGGTTTTTTCCCCAAAAATACAAAGCCATACCCAGTTGGTCCCTCAACATCAAGGACCACCATCATCGTCATTATCGTCTTTCAGGCGAAAGTACAAAAACTACGCGACGACGTCCGAATTCTAGAATTGAAAAATTTCTACGTTATATTGAATGATTAACTATGTTGCAGCGAACTAGTTTAAAACATTGCTCTTTCGGAGAACAGATTTTAATTTACTTTCAGAAGATTTTATGTCGATTTATCGTAAAATTTATTTTGATTATTTCTCCAGCGATTTTGAGAATTAAGATTAGCTAACAAGTTCTGTCAAGAAACAGAATTTGATCTTTTTTTTTTGAACGATTTTTTGCCGCTGAATTATATTATTGCACGAAAATAACTTCTTTGCAAAATGATTTTTTTACAAAATTAAAAAATAGATAATTTGTGAAAGAGAAATCTTTCTGTTCAAGAATACGTCGAAGTATCCATGAAGCAGATTGTTCTTTGAAATATTTTTGAACCTTACATTCTTTTTTAAATTTAGAATAATATAGAAATGTATAATATCAAAAAAGTGCAAGAAAAGCAGAAACGAATCGAAAGTACACTTTGATAATTTTTCTTTCTCATTCAATCTGAATGATTTTAAAATCTTTTGTCAATTTGTGTACAAAATTGGAGATATGAAAATTCACACGAAGAAAAAATAAGAGAGTGTAATCTCAGAATAACACGAATGAAGCTTTGCTTTTAGACTTAATTAGCATAGTTATTTTTTTGGAATAGCTAATGTATTTGTGCAGACAACTAATTTTGGCAATGATTGTAACTTCGAAATATTTTTATACCATTTGATTTGGCCATCGTAACAATTGTTTGTCATTCGCACACTTATAACAAAATTGAATTTTTTTATTTTTTTGAATTTTATGGCACATGTACCTGAATCCCTTTATTCACTCGATCTCTTTAGAATACAACATAAAGCTATTTTCCAAATTAAAACAGAAAAAAGAATTTTTTTTTATGAAAGTGTGCATTCTAAAGATTTTTCTATTGTGTATGCAATAACATTCTTATCACATCATTAGTTATCATCCAGTTTTAAAGAATTTTTATTTGTAGAATGAAACTTAAAGCAATGAAAAAACGATTAATTCATTTGTGGAAAATTCGATTTCTTACTGCGGATTGCTTATTACAAATGTTTTCAAATTTTTGTATCGATCAAAATTACGAAACTCGCATCACGTAAAAATATCGTGACTTCGGACAAATTTTAATGACGATAGCTTAATCTTTGGTCGTTCCTATATTATAGTAATGAGAAAGAAGCCCGACCTTCACTTTACTTTTTTACGTAACGAAAGTTACATCTCGGCCTTTCTGTCGCGCGAAAGAGTGCGAGTTTGCATTACGTGAATCCTAGAATAATTATTAGGCAACAATTAATCGATCGACAATTAAGCGATCTGACGGCGAGAAACTCGTCCGGGATTTTCGCACGAGAGCACGACGTATCGGTGTTTTTGTAGGTAAATAATTATTCGATATTCTTCGCTTTTAATTGTCACAACTGTATTATCGGCGAAATAATTCCGAGCTTGCGATTGTATACGATAAAAATTTAGTTGAAGATTTGCCTCTTTAGCGAGGATTTTTAGTGTTAACGTGACGTGATTCAATCGTCATAGTCCTAAGGATTAATAGTCGATGTGTTACCAATTTGAGAAAAATTATTAAATTAATTATTTCCACAAATAGCAATTAGAAAATTTGACATTCAAAACGTTATTGTATGTTGAAATTGGTACGGCGAGGAGAAAAGGGTACGAAAATACACAATTATATTGTCCATTTGCATTGTAACGGAAAATTATATATGAATCTCCTTGGGTCTATGAAAGTTTAAAAAGATCGAATGTATTTATAGCGTTTCTCGACAAAGATACGTCTTGCTCGCTTTAAATCGTCCGCTTTCCTGCCGAGCATTTCTGCCAAGTAGTTGGTAGAGTAGCTCGACCTCCCCAAGTGTATGAGAATGTCTCATATGATTCTTCATATGACAATTGCATACTCGACACAAAGAAAATTACGAGTGCCCAATGAGATTTTATTGTCACAGAATCAAAAGTTATACAATTTTATCATGATATATTGAGTATAAATATTATTCGCATATGTGATACTTTAAATATCTTATAACAGCAAAGTGCAGATTCATTTAAATATATTCATAACTTATATATTAAATGTGATGCTTTTATATATTCCATTGTTGTTATTATGGGGCTTGCAGAATTTTCTGTGTCAAGTCAATTTGGAAAGCATTTACGTCGTGCCAATGACTTTCGGATTTTTATTATTGTTTTATAAGGATCCCGCGTGCTGAAGCCTTTCTTAGCGAGATGTATGAACAAAAGAATATGTTTTCGGACATTTACTGATT